GCCAAAACGACATCTCCTGTTACTCAAAGCAAGTTTTATTTTTCATTTGATTTTTTGTTCTAGGTTTGCATGCATCAGAAATTACACTTTCAGTATCTGCTGGGGTAATCATATGCTCTATTGATGTTTAAAACCAAGTGATAAACCAGTTTGTGGGCTGGTAACAGCTGTGTCCATGCAGAGCAGTATGGCAAGACACCAGTGCCAGGGTCTGCTGCGTAGGAGCTCCTGGATTGGCACTTATGCTCTGCAAGCTAGCTGAGAAGTGATTATATGAAATACCAGCTCTCAATGTATCTGAAAAGTGATATCTTATTGTGTACGTGTGTGCACGTGTACGTTTATGCACGTGTCTGTGTGTGCTTGCTGTCCAATACACAGGAAACTATCAGCAGTACTGATCTGGGAGGAAAGGCTTGGCCCTGCAGGTTTTGAATATTTAACTATGTGATTATATGAAAATTTAGGGAACAGGACTTGAAGTTTTGTGTCTGAGAGAAAAGCAATGAGATTGAAAAAAAAAGTTTGTGATTGTGGAGATAAAGAAAAGCACAGCGGCACTACCTTTAACATCTTGATATGCCATGAGGAAATAAAATCTCTCAAATATATATACCTAAGTAGTGATTAAGTATAGTAATAGCACTAATGTCTTCCTGTATAAATTGGCTAATAAAACTGGTTGTAAAATATCCCTGTGGAGCCAATTCAGTCTAGATGAATTGCACTAATCTGAGGACCTAAAATTAGAAGCTGAGTTGTCCCTGTGCCGCCCATATACTCTCCTGATAAACCATATCAATCAATTTAAGATTATTTTTTTTAAAAAAAAAAGGAGCCTTCAAGGACAGTTCCCCATGTCCATTGAATAAGGAAAAACCCAAGAAAACTTGACTATGAGCACAGGCTCCTATTAAATGCTTAGACTTCAGTGGTATGGACCTAGGCTTTCATTTTGCTATCCCACTTTGCTGTCTTTCATATACTTCTCTATGGAGAAGACCTTGGTGCTCACTTTCCTTTCTAAATATTTGAGATCTCAAAGATGAAAAGGACTAAACATGTGGATGCACGGTGATTTTTTCTTTTTATGGTGACTTCAGCTGATGTGTTTTACTTGAAATAGGACCACTTAAAAAGTTCAGTTACTGTCATGACACCTGATAGTAAATCATTATGTAGAAGTTGCCCTCAGCTACGTGACCCGAGTAATATAGCCTTACACTGTAAAAGGAATCATAGAACCACAGAATGGTTTGGGGTGAAAGAGACCTTTAAAATCATCTAGTTTCAAGCTCCCTGCCATGGGCAGGGAAATCTTTCATTATGTCAAGTTGCTCACAGCCCCATCCAACCCTTGAACGCTCCCAATGATGGGGCATAAATTAGAAAAACTAAACATAATAATACTGATATCAGATTTGATCTATTTGCTTGAAGTTGGCTAGAGAGCAGCACATCGTTATTCCTTGCACATTTCTGTGCAAGATTTTTGTCTGCAGAAGTAACACAAAAATATTAGTCAGTTTCAGTAACTTTGACATACAAACTTGTATTTTCTTGCTGAAAGTGTTTTATAAACCAGAAGAAAAGTAAAACTTGTGTTAAATATTTCATACTTGAGAACCAAGAAGCAAAAAAAAAGTGTTCAGCATTTTTCTCTGTACTCTCGTCAATAATGAAATGCTGTATTAAGTAAAAATATTACATTAAATGAAAATATCATAGTAAATAAGAATATAATTGTAGGCATTGTTATTAATCCTTTTTGAAAACATGCTATTTGATTTCTGCTAGCCTGAAAGAAGGCGCATTGTAATGCACTAGGAATGAAGCCAGCACTACCTACAATAATAATCACATACTGTGGATTCCTTAGAAATTTAAGGGGATTGTTTTTAAAACAAGTATTTTGTTGAAATATCCTGAATTTGCATTTCTGTACTTAACTTCTATCAGTATATGCAGACAAAGGTTACCTGAATAAATAAAATCTTATTTCAGCATTCCCATTCAACAAAGCATGTCAAAGAAATTTTTTTTTTTTTAATTGTGTGCTTAGCCTAAGAAGCCTATGGTCAAATCCATCCTTTCTGAGTTAAATGCATGTGCTAGAGATAGGACTAGATTAAAAAATTGTTTTGGAAAAGAAAACTGTGAGTGCATGCAGTTATTAAATAGATGCGGGAGCTGTAGTTTGGGGTTTGTGCAGGCAAATGCGTGTGTGCAGTTTTTACAGATATGAGCTGAGCCCTGGTTTTGGACATGCTTCTCCAGCTGCCATTATTTGAAGTATTTGTCTACTTTTTGCATTGCTTTCACCATTTTTTTCTTTAACAAACAATGAAAGGTTCAAAGCAGAGCTCCGTTTAGCTAGAAGAAAACTACTTATTAATTAAATCAGTAAGAATATTTTGTTTAGTATATTAATGGAATGAATGCAAACTTGTTTCTGTTTTTCAATTGGCATATGTTAGCCTTTTATTAAGAAAAAAACCCACAAACCTCAACTTTCTTAGGCTGAAGAAGCTAGAGAACTGAAATAATTTTTTATTAATGCCATAGAAATCATTACTGTTTAGGAGTAGATGTATTTTCACACATTTTCATTGTATATTTTAAAGAATAGATATTTTCCCAGCCTGGATAACAGTAGCTGTAACTGTGAAGAAAAAGATTAAAAACCTGCAAGTGACTCATGTATGCAATAGTATTTTAATCAGCATAGTTGGCACATTATAAGAAAGTTTACGATGATCTTATTTTTTAATTATTTATATCTATAAGAGACTACAGAAATAGAATGTGAAAAGTATCTTATACCATATCTTATAATCAATGGAAAGACATCATCACCACACTGAAGTCTTTTACATTTTCACCAAGTCATTAAAACACAATAAAATATTTACTGCTCAGGATAGACCAAACGTTGTGCTCAGCATCACATTCTCTAGCCTTTATCTCTAGTTTCATGTTTATTATGTGTATTCATTTAGCTTTTAGAAAGGCTAGTAGGTGTCTCTCTAAGCAGCCAGATATTTCAAATACATGCTTAGAGAGCTCATTCCCAGTTAAGTCCCTTTCTGTCTAAACAGTAGCCCATTTAAATCCCATTTAATTCTTGGAATAAAAAAAAGCAAGTTACTTCCCAAAAAAATTTATTCTCAAGTCATTTCTTTTGCCGATTTAGTATAAGCACCTAGAGTTGACTTGCAGTTGATCAAAAAATTTGGCTGCATATCTACAGCATGACACTGTTATAGAAACTTTAATGATTATGCGAAGAATATAAAAGGTTAATCCCTTAAAACATGATAGAAAGGCTTTGGAAACTGTGCAAAATAAACCCTGGATGTTCTTATGCAGAATTAAAATGAGACTCAACTTTGCTACACCTTCAATGGACAACTTTGTAGCTCTGGAACTACTTTATTCCAATTTCATCTATAGAGGCAGGATTTTCAAGACTTCCTCTTTGCACCTCAGCATGTCTTTTTAAAGAAGAGAGCTGACATTTTATTATAATCTTGTGAGTTCAGATACTGGCCTATTAAAACTGTTATCAGATATTGGAAGGTCAGTGTGAAGTTGTGTCAGTTGGGGTTTTTGTCAACACCATTTAGATTGAAAGTTTTCACAAGGATGATAATGATTTACAAGTCATGTGAAATAATCTATAAAGAAAAATGAAAGAGAAACATATTATAGTTTGTCCATAAACCAGTACACAGTGGATGTTCTGGAATAAGATTGAAATCATCTGAGTGACACTGAGACCACCTCCCTAAAAATCGCTAACAGCAAGATGTCCTTGACAAGACAAGGCCCTAAAATTTTGTGAAGATTTCTCCAAATAGTTTATGTATTATGATTCTGTCTATTTATTTTTGTTTCAGTGAACTATATCTTCTAATGACAGATTTCTCCCAAGCAGCTGAAAGTTATTATTACTGCATTGTAGCAGAACAAATATATGTGAAGATATAAGAATAATGCTCTTTTAGTGGAGTATCCTAATATTGTGCTCTTGTGAAAATTGAACCGAATAAAATGTTATTTTAAGAATGCAGAATGGCACACTTTGATGAAGTAAAATATATATCTTCAGTGTTGTAGAAGGGACAAATAGGTGTGTTCTATCAAGTTACATTTCTATAGTTGGTATAACTCTTAAACGAGAATAAGGCAGTGATTTAGTTCCTACAGAAGCTATGTTTAATGCTGGGGATACTTAAAACCAGATACACACATTGGTATTTTTGATCAGGCATATGGCTAGCACCCTGTATAAAAAATATATGTTTTGTAAGTTTCTTTAGCTATTTTATTGAACTTTCCAATTTAAAACTCCACCTGGAAAAAAATGCATTGCTTGCTCTCATTGTTACAGGGCTGTACTCAGCTGTAAGCCTTGAATGTGTGTATCCACATTCTTATTCACCTAATGATAAGGTCACTGAAATCATCATGTTCTCCACTTAGTCTACTCACCATGAATAATCATGTTTGCCCAGAAGGGTTCGTTATACCATACTTAAAGTAAGATCTGCTGTTGAATGTGAAACATAAATCTCACACACTTTCCAAAGGATGACTACAGGATAAAAGAATACTAAAAATCCCGGTCTGATACAGTGAATTCGCTTCCATTAGCAAACCAAGGGAAAAATTTCACTATTCTGGAGTCATTAAAATTTTATAAAATTGTTTTCTTTGGTCAGAGAGTCATACTGAATGTATTGTGCATACCCTTGCAGAATGTTGGCTTTACAGTTTATTGCTATTTGTACTGACATGGTAATATCCATATCCAGACTGCTGGATTTTCATTGCTGTTCAGTGCAAGTTCAAAATGAGCACATCATTTGCCTTGAAAGCTGCAAAAGCTGTTCTTTAAGAGAATGTCATGTAACTTCCTTTCTTTCTGCAAGGGTTAGGTATTTCTGCATCCTATATTTCTTTCTGAGCTTTCCTTCTCTGCCTCTTATATTCTGCAGACACTGTAGAAGATGAAATGGAAATGGCCACAGTACGACATAGACCTGAAGCTCTTGAACTGCTGGAAGCACAGAGTAAATTCACAAAGAAGGAACTTCAGATCTTATATAGAGGTTTCAAGAATGTAAGCACTTCCTTTTTAAATTTGACATACATTTACAGTATAGGCCAGCGCAATCTTAGCAAAAAAGGAGTAGCTCATGGGATTCAGTAGCTAAATATTGCATGTCTGGTCAGGTGTGGAAGCAATCACTCTGCAATAATAGGGCTATTTAATATCTGAAAGATGCAGACAAACTAGAAAATATTCAGAAGAGAATGATTATAGCTTAGTGTAGTCGGGCTTTGATGAAGGACAGATTGAAAATTGTGTTGAGGTTGTTTGTCTAAAGATGCAATAAAGGGAGAGAATATAAATCCTGAAGAATTTGGTCAGTAAGAGGAAAGATTTTGATTTCTGTGTTCACAGTAACTATCACAAGAAGTTATTAGCTTAAATCGCGCTAGAGGAATTTTTCATTAGGTGAACAGCAGCAGGTGACTGCTTCAGTCCTTTCTAGTTTTACAAATCTATAAACTCGTTAGATCTCTTTACTAGGCATAATTAATTGTGATTTTTTGATGATATATGTGCTTTATTGTCAGGTCTAGTGTTTTTAGTTGGCAGGGGTCCCCACTGAGGACCCCAGTATACGCATGCAGTCTGCCTCCTTTTCCAGTGTGTATTTGCTGTGGTGCTGAGCTTGGTGTTTGCACATGAGGCATCCATAGTTCATATAGCAGAGAAATAAGATACAAAAGAATTTTAGTAAGAAGCTGTAAATTCTGACTCTATACCAAAAGTAAGAGCTGTCCCTGATTTTGTTAATACTGTATTAAGAAAGCTCTTTTCTTTATAAAAAGCCTTTTTATCTCTGTTTCTTTTTGCTATTTTTTCCTATGTTTAACAATTCTGCAGGATATTACGTGCAATTAACATTGGATAGAAAATGCTTTCATATTAAGAAGAAATGAATAATAGCAGTTCCTTTCTTGTATATCTAAGAATCATGGATTGGTTTGCATTGGAAAAGACCTTAATAATCATCTGGTTCCAAACCCCCTGCCATGGGCAGGGTCACCTTCCACTAGACCAGGTTGCTCAAAGCCCCATCCAACCTGGCCTTGAATGCTTCTGCGGATGGAACTTCCACAGCTTCTCTGGGTAACCTGTTCCAGTTTTCCACCACTGTCACAGAAGAGAATTTGTTCCTTATATCTAATCTAAATCTACTCTCTTTTGGTTTTAACCCATTACCCCTTATCCTATCACTACAATCCCTGATAAAGAGTCCGTCCTCATCTTTCCCTTAGGTGCTTTGTAAGTTCGTCAGTCTTGTCTTCTCCAGGCTGAACAACCCCAACTCTCTCAGCTTGTCCTCACAGGGGAGGTGCTTCAGCTGCCTGATCATCTTCATGGTCCTCCTCTGGACTTGCTCTAACAGATTTATGTCCTTATGTTAGGGACACAGTAGTGCAGGCGGGGACTCACAAGAGCAGAGAAAATGGGGAGAATCACCTCCCTTGACCTGCTGGCCATACTTCTCTTGATACAGCCCAGGATGCGATTGGCTTTTTGGGCTGGAAGCACACATTGCTTGCTCATGTCCATTTTTTTCATCCACCAACAGCCCCAAGTCATTCTCTGCAGGCCTTCTCTCAATCCACTCATCACCTAGCCCACATTTGTGCTTGGAATTCCCTCGACCCAGGTGCAGGACGTTGCACTTGGCCTTGTTGAACTTCATAAGCTTTGTGTGGGCCCAACTCTCAAACCTGTCAAGGTTCCTCTGGATGACATCCCTTCCCTCCAGTGTATCAAACATACCACACAGTTTGGTGTCACTGGCAAACTTGCTGAGGGTGCACTTGATCCCACTGTCCATGTCACTGACAAAGATGTGAAACAGCTCTCGTTCCAATACCAGCCGTTGAGGATCACCACTCATCACTGTTCTCCACTTTGGATATTGAGCCATTGACCACAACTCCTAAAGTGCAACCGTCCAGCCAGTTCCTTATCCACCGAGTGGTCCATCTGTCAAATCCATCTCTCCAGTTTAGAGACAAGGTTGTTGTGTAGGACAATGTCAAATGCTTTGCACAAGTCTAGGTAGATGATGTCAGTTGCTCTTCCCTTATCCACCAACACTGTAACCCTGTCATAGAAGGCCATCAGATTTGTGAGGCATGATTTGCCCTTAGTGAAGCCATGTTGGCTGTCACCAATCACCTCGTTATTTTCCATGTGCCCTAGCATAGTTTCCACTCCATGATCTTGTCAGACACAGAGATGAAACTGACTGACTCTCAGTTCCGTGGTTATTCCTTTTTTCCCTTTTTAAAATTGGGACTTATGTTTCACCTTTTCTAGTCAGCAGGGACTTTACCGGACTGCCACGACTTCTCAAATATGATGGATAGTGGCTTAGCAACTTCATCTGCCAGTTGCCTCAGGATGAGCAGGTGCATCTCATCAGGTCCCATGGACTTGTGCACCTTCAGGTTCCTTAGATGGTCTCAAACCATCAATCTGGAATGCCAATCTGTGTACTCAGCTGTGAGTGCTGCAGCTGTGCAGGTGCTAAGTCTCCTGCTGAGCTGAAGGTAAAGATAATTTGAATTGCATTTATCACCTTTTGATTTAGTTTTTCTTTCATATTTACAAAAGAGCCACCTTCTTGCCCTTGGCATTTACTTCTCAAATGAAATTGTGTAACAAAGTATAAAATTACTAAAAATGCTATGAAGCTTAATTTTGGAATCAGAGAGAATATTTTCAATAGGTTGTACAAGAAGTGTAATTCTTGCACAATTCTTAGACATCATATATTTTGTAATGAAACTAGGCCATGCAAAGAGATGTTTTAAAACTACTTTTTTATTGAAAGCTTACAATGCAAGTAAAATACAGAGTCACTTAATGTGTCCTGTCTGTGTATCATCCTCAGTTGCCAAAGGTATACAATGTTGACATGTTAGTGATTAACAGTGATTGCTCTTAAAAGATTTTCATTTCCTCAGGGTACCAGAGAACATTCCCCTGCTAATAACAGTGTTCCATAGGCATTGCAAATCATGAACTAATGTCCCTAATTATCTAAGGCAAAAAGGTACTAAGTATAGTGGATGAAATAAGACTTCTCTCTGTTTCTCTAAGAATAATTATTTTTAGAGTCTCAGAAGTGAAGGACCTTGATAATTCTCAGCAGAAAATGAGATATGGAAAAAGGGAATAGGTTATATGGAAGTATTTAACTGATCACCATTTTACTGTTTTCTGAAAAGAGGAATTCCAGTTATTCATATGCTTTTGTGTTCTAAGATGTAAGTTCTACTTACATCAAAGGAGTGCTGATGGTAATACTAGGTAATACGTCTTTATTCAGGTGTTTCATTTCCTTATCAGTACATGATAATTAAAGACATGCATGTATAAGTATCTTTGACTATTTAGAGTTAATAAGCATGAACTTCAGTGGTTTTATGTTTAATATAATTGCAAAATTATCAATTACTTTAGAAAATACTCTAAAGCATGCCCAGGGCTTGTGACTGTTATGAAAGTAAACCAGTTTAAAGCAGTAGTTCCAAGCGTTACACTTCTAGAAATGAGAGATTTAAAAAAATTCAGTTGAGATGGGGTTTGGTTTGTTTCTTGTATTTACCAGTTTCTACTGAAAAATTTGGTGCTAGCTCACAGTTCCCTAATTGCTTCATAGAATTGGTAGGGCAGGCCTGCCTCAGCTCTATGAGAAGCTTGCCTATGCCAATTAGTTCATCTTTCCTGTCACAAGTCTAGCTTTTATCAAAAACAGTTTGAATGGGTTTGGTGGGTACAGGTGCAGGATGATGCTGCATGACATCCCATGGTCTGTGTTTAGGCAGTCTCTCCCTGACAGTGCTCAGTCATCCTCTTCTGCCTGCCACAGGTCAAGTCTCTTCTCACTCCCCTGTTTGCTGGTCAACTTGACCCTATCCTGCCAATATCTCCCCCCTGTGTGCTTCATGCACCAGCATGTGCTGGGGCACACCCAGCTGGAACGCAACTTTGCTTTGTTGAGCATGAGCCAGCAAAGAAGGCAAATGCTGTACTGGGATGCATTAGGCAATGTATTTATTAGGCAACCAGCAAGTCAGAAGAGGTGATTCTTCTCCTCTGCTCAGTGCTGATGAGGCCACATCTGAGTGCTGTGTCCAGTTCTGGGCTCCTCAGAACAAGGGAGACATGCATGTAATGGAGAGAGTCCAACCAAGGCTCACAAAGATGACTAAGGGATTGGAGAAGTGTCTCTCCTGTGAGGAAAGGCTGAGAGAGCTGGGACTGATTAGCTTACAGACGAGAAGGCTCAGGGGGAAACTTGTCAACATGTGTCGATACCTGAAGATGGAGTGCGAAGATTGGGGCAGTCTCATTTCAGTGGTGCCCAGTGACAGGACCAGAGGCAATGGCACAAACTGAAACACACGTGGTTCCTTCTGAACATCAGGAAGCACTGTTTCACTGTTAGGGTGACTGAGCACTGGCTTCAGGTGTGTCAGGAGGTAATGAAAAAGAAAAGTGGCAACTTCTCCTGTGTCTTTTGAACAGCCTTTGGAGTATGTGCATTTTTTACTCTGTCTTTTTGCAAACATAGGCAAATTACATGCCAAATCCAGTCGAAAATAATTTAAGTGGAGAGAGCGCGGTATCTCAGATAGCAACTCAGTGTGTATGTACACACCTGAAAGTTCAGAGAGTCTCGGATCACACTGTGGTATAGCTGATGCTCTAGGAAGCCAGAAGCAGAAGGTAGCTGCAGGAAAGGCCCAAAGACTATTGAAATGCCAATTTTGGCAAAGGCTATTTTGGAAGTAGACAAAGTTGACATTTAAAATACAAGAGGACATACACTAAAGCAAACATAAGGAGGTAGGAAGAGCACCTTCACATGACCTAACAACTGCTGCAAGGAAAAGTATCAAGGGAGAACTTATGCCTATGCTCAGTAGTTTAAAGATTTTAAATCTTCCATAGTGTCCCTCAAACATTGCCTTAATGAAAGTCCTAAGCCCTCCCAAGGCTAAAAAACTTGTCCCCAGCAC